ATACTTTACAATGATTTGTAATCTGTACATAAGGCTATAATCCTGGGTGATCAGCAAGTGCTTCAATCCTTCTTCACTTTCAGCAAGCATGTGTCCTCTGAATATTACAGGTTATTAATCAGCCTTTTTCAAATCTGATGTTTGTTGCTTCTTCATATAATCCAGCATCTCTGCTTATTTGCTCAGCACACAGAGTAAAGCTATAAATAGTTTTCTTTTCTTTTTTTTAGAAATAATTTTACTTGCGGCTCTTACAGCTCTTATAACATTCCGTACATCAATTATGTCAAGCACACTTGTATATGATGCCATCATCATTTCCAAAACATTTTCTTTCTACTTGACCCCTTGGTATCAGTTCCTCTCTTTTACCTTATTCAATAGAGTTTCCATAGTTTCAACCTCATGTATAGCTACAAGCTATATTGTGAAAAAATAATCAGAGCATCTGGATTGAATAAAAATGTTGGACACTGAATAAGGAAGCTTATAGAAGAACAGTTGCTTTTCACTTGTGGTGCTGGCGCAGAACACTGAAAGTGGCATGGATGGCCAAACAGCCAAACTGATCTGATGAGAAGAAGTAAGGTTACTGTGCTCCATAGAGGCAAGAAGGTCAAGTCTTTGTCTTACAGACTTTGGACATGTTGTCAGGAGAGACCAGTCCCTGGAGAAGAACGTCATGTTTGCTAAAGGGGAGGGGCTGTGACAATGAGGAAGGCCATTGAGGAGACGGATCAATGCAGGGGCTGCATCAATGCACTCAGGCACAGGGACAATTGTGAGGGTGGCACAGGAAACTGCAGGGCTTTGTTCTGTTGTGTATAAGGTACCTGTGGTCGGAGCTGACTCGATGGCACCTGACGACAACAGCAATATACAGATCGACTAAATATGGGGAGAGGATACACTCCTGATACACATTTTTCTTAATTTTAAACCACGCAATATACTTCGTTCTGCCTCTCGATCCGTGTCCAAATTCCTGATGAGCACAATAAAATGTCCCCATTCTTCTCAAGACTATCCATAGATTGTGATGATGTGCACAGTCAAATGCCTTGGTGTCATCAATAAAACATAAGTAAACATCTTCCTGGTAATCTCTGCTTTTAGCCAAGATCCATCCAGCATCAGCAATAATCTCCCTATTACGTGTCCTCTTCTCTGGCAGCTCCCTAATAATGGAGTGTTGCAACCTTGCTGGATGATCTTCAGGAAACATTGTCTGCATGTAATATCGATGATATTGTTCCATAATCTGAGCATTATTGAGTCCCCTTTCTTTGGAATGGGTACTCTTAATAATCTCTTCCAGTCTTTGGCCAATTAGCTGTCTTCCAAATTTCTTGGCATAGATGGGTAAGTGTGTCCAGTGTTTGACCAGCTTGTTGAAACATTTCAATCGGTGATGTAGTTAAAGTTTATCGTGTCAACATGGCCGATAAACACATGTGGGGTTACTGAAGGGTGGAGATAAATGGCTCGGTGAGCCTTGCCTTTCGAGATCTAGGGTCTCTTGCTTTGTAATGATTGAACCAGGGTGCAGCTGCCTTAGCCAGTTCCCTGCTTCAGCTTGCAAGGCCACTTCCTGAAAGACATCCCCAAGGAGACTCATGGACCTACCCTGAAGCAGCCCTGAGTGCTGGAGCAGCAGTGTGGAGACCCCTGCCAGCACTGAAATGCTTACACGTTCACTGACTCGGCTTTCCTCCTGCAGTCGGTGCCACTGTGTGTGTTTTGTGAGATGGAGGAGGGCTTTGTGGATTGGTGTCAGACATATGGGTTAATGCTGGACTTGTGGGCTTGGGCAGCACTGGGTGGGGATGTTTTCTTGCTGTGCACTTAATCTTTATATAAAACTCTCTCTTATACATGAGTTTCTGTGGATTTGTTTCTCTAAAGTACTCAGACTAAGACAATTGGTATCCCATCAATTCCTGGTGCCTTGTGTTTAGCTAATGCGGTCAATGCAGCTTGAACTTCTCTGTTCTGTGCCGTTGGCTCTTACTCAAATGCTACCTCCTAAGGTTTACTCCAAAACTCAAACGCCACACTCACTGGCTTGGAGTCAGGCTGACTCAGAGTGACCCCTGTGGGCTCCCCAGACGGTCACTGTTTATGAGAGTAGACAGTCCAGTCTTTCTCCTGAGAGGCTGCTACTGATCCTGAATTACTGACCATGTGGATCGCAGCCCAACTGGTACCCACGATGCTGTCTGGGCTCCTACCATGGGTTCCCTAGGCTGTGATGTTTATGAGAGCTGATAGCTGCATCTTTCACTCTCAGGAGCAGATTGTGGGCTTGAACCATTGATCTTGTGATTAGCAGTACAATGCTTAGCCACTGATATCCCCAAGGATCCCCTGAACTAGGAAAGGGGGGCTGCCTGAAGCAATGGGAGCAGGTTCTGTTCTGTTAGTGAAACCTGGAGCCCTTGGCAAAGGAGCTTTCATTCAACTTCCAGAGAGCATGGAAACAGTGCAGAGTCTGGAGGTGGGGTATTGCTCAGATGATCTCAAAGAATAGATCATTATCTTCAAGTGTCTGTTCCACAGGATTTTGACCTTGGTATCGGATCCCATTTTCTCCTTGCATTTACCCTATTTGCAATGGATGTCTATCTGGTGTGTCTGCTTTCAGTGTATTTTGGAAGAGGATAACCTGTACTCTGGATTGCACAAGTTCTCAAATGAAGAGTTCTTTTCCCTCAAGATGGAATATGTCAAATATCTCACTCATTTTTTTATTCAGATGCTTCAGAGAAGATGATAGTTTAAACCTGGGGTTGGCTTAATACTTCTGGCATGAGTTAACATACTAAATGTGGTTTTTAAGGGGACGAGGGAATGCCTTGTGTAAGCCAAAGGGTAGAATGTCATGGACTGAATTGTATGCCCACAAAATATGCGCTGTAAACTATAGCTTTGTCTATGGTTACAATTTACTTTGTGGAATGGGTTGTATGCCTCGTGTTAATAATTCAGGATTAGTGCAAAATAAATCTTTAATTAATCTCTTTTGCGATAGTATGGAGATGAAACAAGCAAGTGAGAGAAGGAGATGGGGAAAGAGATGCCAAGACACAAGAAGATACCCCAGGAGCAGGTCGAAGAGACAAGATTCTCCTCACAAGGCCGACAGAGAGAGGGGTCTTTTCTAGAATCACACTGTGCGTTCAGACTTCTAGCCTCATAAACTGTGAGGAAAAAATGTTTTTATTTGCTCAGGACACCCTCTTTGGTATTTCAATTATAGCAACACTAGATAACTGAGGCATATGGATAATGGATGCCAAAAATTAACAGAGAAATAAATAGTGGGGGGTTGTTATAAGTAGTGTCCGAAAAGAAGGTGGATGTTTGATTTAACTCTCAGAATGCTATAAAATGAAATAGTCAGTGCAACTGGTTCTGATGCTCTACATGGGACCATTAGATTGGGTATCCATGGTAACGTGTAACCCTACAGGCACTGGAGTTTTCTGGTCGAACGACCATACATCTTTTTATTCCTGGTCTTATGCTTCATTCTAATATTAGCACGAGAACCACTAAGTGCCCATCCACTGTAAACTTGTAGCCCTGCAGTTACCCAGGCTTTCTAGTAGGAATCTGTTTCTTCTTTCATTTGTGGGAACAAACACAGACACTCAATAATGTACAGAAGATGGGTGGCAAAGTGAACGAATAGATGAATGAATTCACATGAAATTGTTTAGGGGCATTGGATCAGAGTAAGGATAGAGAAGACTCTAACTTTAAACTACTTAGCAGATATTCTGTTTCTTGTCAGGAATTACGATAGGAAGGAGTACAAGCTACTTCAGGAGTCTCTATCAGCCATATATCGAAACAAAATGCATACATATATGTAAGCAATAGTTAGATCTCATTGTTCCATTGAAGTTGTGATAGCAAACAAGTATAACATACATCCATATACTTAGCCATGCTATTAATGTTTTATGTACATTAAATAATGCAATCCTTAGCTTCATGTGATGTTTTTCTTTATTGCCACCACTTAACAGATGCTATTTAGCTCATGAAACCATGGAAAGTATATTTCTACTGAAATGAGAATCAATATTCCCTAGTACATTAGGACCCTGACACTGAGGCCAGACTGCATATAGGTGCATATTGTGCTCTGAAAGTTGGTAACTGTACAGCTGAGTTTTACCGAATTTTTCACATTTCCCAGATGTGGATTTAGGAGAAACCAAAAAGTTAGTGGTTCAAGTCATAAATGTCAAGCCAGAAGATCATACAAATGTGACCATAGCAATATTTATTGGAGATATTTTCTTTATTATTGACCTGTGGTCATATGGCTTGGCTTGCTTTACTACCTTCTAGTAAAGCCAACTAAAGTAAAATATTCGAGGGGAGCCTTCTATTGCAGCTATTAGACAAGAAATATTTAACCCTTATATTTTGCATGACGCTTTAAAAACCAAACAATCAGAATCTTTTATCTTTGACAGAGGAGCCTTGTTCTTGTAGAGGTTACACGTTGTGCTCCTAAATGAAGGCCAGTAGTTGGATGCCATCAGCCACTGCCCTGGAGGAAGCCTGGGCTTTCTCCCCAATTTATAGTCTCAGAATCTCGCAGGGACAGCTCTACTCTGTCAACACGGTCTCTGTGAACCGGCACTGACTCTGTAGCAGTGAGTTTAGTGATCATCTTTGACTGAACTACTCTTGGCTCCAGGCAGAGCAAGCGATCATAGTAGAGATTGGAACTACTCGCTTTAATATTACCAGATGCCCATATAGTTAATTTCCGAAAGCAAAAAAATAAGTGAACTAATTTTCTAATTCATAAATTTCAAGGAAAGCAGAGGGCTTTTAAAAATTAAAAGATTTTCCAGTCTTAAAGAAATAAAATTAGCTATCAAAAATGCTCAACTGATAATACAGTAGCTACAAAGAGGAAATATTACATTAACTTCAATTTTTAAACAATTATTTTTAAAAGGAAGATTAATTAGTACCTGGACAACTTTTTGGGACTGCACATCCACAAGGAGAACTCTGTCCAAAGTTGGCTGGGCAACGTAAATAAACTTGTCTTTGACATTGACAGCCGAGGCCCACACACACCTCTGCACTTCATCTCCTTCAGCTTTGGGACAGACTTCATCCTGTATTTTAAGAAACATAAAATGAATGAAACATGTAAATCATATGACAGATACCACAGTATTATGGATAAAATTCATGATTGTTGCTACACTACATTCGGCATTAAGATAAAATGGACATTATTATAGCATGATTTATAGAGATATATTTTGAACCACTGAATGTGATTAGAAATGAATACAATTGAGCTCACTTTAAAATACCTATTATGTCTTTATTTATTTTAATTTTTCTAGTGGCATATAGTTCTTTCAGTACTAATTATTTATACATAATTGGTTTACCCCTAATTATACATAAGGCATTCAATGGTATCCCTAAGACCCCTCTGTTTCTCTAGCTTCTTTTCTGTGGAGTAAATTTTACAGTGGAGTAAAATTAGAGCTTCCCCAAACACTGGCTGCCCCTCTGGCATATCCACAGTGCTCTCCAGCATCTCAATATTTTGTCAAAAACTTACAAATGCTCAAGGGAATTAGAAGTTTAGAGAAAGCAGTCAATATGTATAGGGCTATTCGTGATGTTTTTGTTTTAATCCAATGTGATACATAATTTTAATTTGGTGTCAGAGGCAAATTAACTTTTTATCTGATGATAAAATATTATAGTTAAAGATTATACAGTTGAAGATTGTACAGGTGATTTAAGCTGAGAAAAATGTCCTCTATTTTCTCCTTTGTTGTACTTTATGAATGCTGAAGTGACATGAAGTCTTTGAAAATTATGCTGAGAGATCCATCATGTTAAACATTAAACGAGAAATGCCACTTGGCTCATTGTTTCTTTTTTCTGATTTGCTTTCACATTATCTTTTTTCCCTCTCCTAATGAACTGGTTTGTTGATTCATTCAATTTATTTGTAGTTTGAAAGGCTTCTACAAGGTAGGCTATTAGTTAAATTGAATATAAAAGTTATGCATACTGGTAAACACTTATATAATGATAATCACACCCTAAAGTTTCACTAGGTCTTATAATGGATAGCTGATGCTGAATTTCATAGATATCTTTATCCCAGTCATTTCCTTCTAAGCGAAAAGAAAACATTCCTTTTGTTTTCTAGATCTTCTTCAAATGTCATCTTTATAGCAGCCATCCCATTCACCATTGCATTTAAGAAAAATGAAGCAAAATTAGCAGCTCACATTATCAAAACACCTATGAATTTATTTTATATACAAATAACATCTGATGTTATATAAAATACACTTTACATGTAGTCACTGATAAGATAAATACATCTTTTATTTTTGCTATTGCAGTCTGTACAAAATGGAAAGAATAATGCAGAAGTCAGAGGAACTTGAAATGAGATGGTTATTTAATGGCCAGGTGCTTATATTCCTCAAATTTTAGACATAATTAAGGGGGAATCTGAATTGTCCACCAATGCTTAAAATCCAGTCCAGTAATTGCCAGCTTCAACCAAAGCCCAGGGCAGGTAATAAGTGTTCACCTATGAATAGGACAGTGTGGTAGTCACCTAATCTGGTGTCAATTTAAGGATTAAGAGTATAGGAGTGGAGTCTAGCCTGTCAATCTGGAGATAGTCAAAGAGACCTCTATGTGGGCATGGCCTTCTGGGAAATCTGATACTTCCTTCTTGGAGGCGGAAGACACCACTCTCTCTCTGCTACTCCCTGGGAGACATTGCAGAAAACAAGCCACAGGGATGCAACCAGAACTTGGGAGCCGGAGAAGCCACGTAGAGACCCCTGCCAGCGCTGAGATGCTTACAACGCCACTGGACCCAAAGACTCTACCCACTGGCTTGTGACCGTCCTGCATTTGGCTTCTTTGCATGTGTTTGTGAGTCTGAAGAGGACTTTATAGATTGGTATTGGACATATGGGTTCACATCAGACTTATGGCCTTGGACTGGGCTAGGTTGGGATGTTTTCTCAATGTTCAATTCCTCTTGTATAGAAACCTCTCCCTTATATAAATATGCGTGTTTATGAATTTGTTTCTCTAGTCTACCCAGACTAACACATATTACTAAGGTTTCCAGTATATAAGCAGGGAAAAACAAAACCTTAGCCTCCATGTGATCGGTGACTCAGGTACTTTGGGTGTTATAATATTTGCTTTATAGAACATGCATATGAGCCCAACCAATGGCATTAATCTGAATATTACTCCTAACCCCTGCAGACAGAACTCTGCCCTGAGAGGATAACCAGAATAGAGTACATTGTTTTACTTCCCATTCATTAATTTCTGGGAAAACATAATATTCCATACCAAACTTTTTTTCTTCAGTAGCATGCTAACTGTCTTTGGGAAGAAAATGTTTTGTGAGACCAAATCATTTATAAAGGATCTACTTCTGAAAGGTGGTGGAAGGCTCTAAATCTAGGAAAACTGTTCGTAAAATATTTGCTTTTGTGTAAAACCAACAACACAATCAGCCAAAATAATGGAAAGCGTGAGTGACCTGGCCCAGAACTGTTAGCCAACCCGTCACGGAACACAGAGCCGTGTCCATCCCTTCGTTTGTGATAAACGATTCAGCAGGAAAAGAAACTGCACACGGAACATTATTTCCTATTTGTATTCTATCCCCATAAGACATTGCTGACCAGACTTGCAATCCATTTTACAAACCAGTAAAAGTTTCCCGATAGCAGCCCTGGAATTTCTTTGCTTCACTTTGTGGAATTATTTCTGATGAGAGTCTATTAGGCCCCATTTTATAATAGCATGATTACTTGTCAGATTACATAGATTAATACTTATTTCCAGGCATGAGTGTTGTAGAAGAATGTGCTTTTACACGCATTAAGTGCTTAATGGGGGAAAGAACTAAAGATGTTAGAGATGCAAAAATAAGATTAAGATAATACATTCTGAAGAGCAAGATTTCCAGAGATGCATCAAAATGTATCTCTAAATACATTTTTACAGAAAGTAGACGAGCACTTAGAGTGAGGGGTATTAATAAGATATTAGGACTAATGAAGACATGAATCAATAGGGATAAGAAAATTCTAAGTCATGATCATAATTTATCTCATTTCCTTTGGCCCGTTCGTATATTTAATCACAGATTTCCTGAATACTCTTCCCAAATTTTAAGGCAGCGAAAGACGTATTACTATGTGATGTAACTTTTTATATAGCAATTTCAATATTGCTTATGGGTACCTGATTTGAAAACATAATTAAGTCTAACAGATGAATTTATTCCTTTGTCGTTTACTACCATTTTGCTCTATTTTAAGAATTAACTATCAGAAATACGTTGTCCTTGAATACATTTCCATCTTCTTTCGTATTCCTTTTCACACCTCTATTCTAAATACACCCTGTGTCATTCATGGATACTCCTAATGATATTTGGTATAAGTATCTACATTTGCTTTGAATTCAGTTCAACAGACTCCGACCTTTACCTTTCGCTCCCATAATTTTCTACATGCTAACAAGATTTAGCTTCTTTCTTCGGCCTTCAGTAATCCCTCCACTATAATTTATTTTTAAATGAATTATTCTCCAGATATTTAAATATTCAGACTTGTCTGAAATGTAAATTCCCCACCTAATTCACACACACACAAATCAATAAATAGAAAAAAACAGTATATTAACTCATATTTGTATATATCAGTATATATATATTCACATGTACAAAAAGAGGCATATCTATATAAATATGTAACTAATAAGGACATTTATGTTATTGAAGCTTAAAAAACACACTAACAAGTTGTATAAAATAACAGAAAGACTTGGTAGTATAGTAAGACTATGTAAACGTGAAAACAAAACCTTTACACGTAGAAATGAATTTATATGTGAAATTTTTTAAGTATTAATATTCATATCTAAAATAGAATTATTAGAACAAAAACACTAAAAATACAGGCTAATCAAACAATTAGAGGCAGGGTACTTGAAGATATAAGGAAAAACAAATATCAGATTATCTGCCTAATTTATATTACAAAAGCTGTGATTTGCACAGCTATAGAGGAGCAAAGTTGCATTTGTATCAGGAAGGGCCCAAATGCCAAGGCAACGGACAAAGTAACCTAAGGCACTACATTAGGTAGCTGGTAGACTTAGCCTAAGGAGCCAAGAGGTGTGGCGTGTTGCTGTGTGCTTTCCCAGTGCTTACAGACTTAGAAGACAATGGGGCAGTACTCTTCCACCTTCAGGGGTCACTAGGAGTGGGAAGGGACTCAACGCCTCACTTTGCTTTGTGTTGTTTTGTAATTTGGTCGATTTATCATGTCCCTGTCAGGAGCCGTGCATTAAAGGTTCAAGTGGTCACCAGAAATTTGCAGTTCAACCACATTTCCTCTAAGATACTTAGAGGAATCTGCTTTCAAACTGGCAGAGCCTGAGAAGCCTGCGGAGCACCCGTGTACCCGGGCCTGGAGGTCCCCGGCGCCCGAGTCCAGCTGAGGGTAACTAGCGTGGTGGGTTTGGTGGATTTACTTTGCTACACTCTTGGAAAAGCAGAGTTCAATTTGGATTATGTCAAAAAGGGAAGAAGGGGTAGTGTTTTGATTTAAAAAATAGAATTAAAAGATAGGAGAGGCTAGTGAATTGATAAATATAGAATTAAAAAATCTCTAGAAGCTTTGGATATATTACTTTTTCTTTTCTTTCGTGAAGCTCTAAACCCAAAACCAGACACACTGCTAGCAAGTTTATGGAGACGCCCTGAGACCCTGTAGGGTGGGTAGAACTGCACCTGTAAGTTTCTACGGCTGGAACTCTTGATGGCACTAGAAAGCCTAGGTGTTCTCCTGAAGAGCCACTGGTGCTTTTGAACTGTTGACCTTGCATTTAGAAGTCCAATGTATAACCACTATGCTACCAGGGCTCCTTACTCGTTTTCCATTGTTCCACCCTCCGATTCGCTACTAATCATCCTTTTAAAAGTAGCAAAAAGAGTTTGCACTCTTTCATCTCTCTGTTTTTCTGTCTTGAAACTACAAATTAAACTCACTGGCATGCAGTTAATGCTGGCTCATAGTGACCTCCGGTA